CTTATAAGAAATGTATCTAAAACAGTGACAAAAAATGTTAATGTTCTAGTATATACAGGAAAATAAAAACCAGAAAGAAAGTAGAAATGCTAAAAATAATTCACATCCAGGAGATGTAAACATATTTAAAAGGATTGCTAAGATGTTATATAATCATAAAAACAAAATCCACTACATATATAATATCTATATTTTATATATATATATATATATAGTGCTATATACTCTGTTGCTATATTGTTTAATTAATAAACCCTATATACACACACACACGTGTATATATATACACACGTATGTGTATGTGCACACACATGTGATATGTGTGTATGTGTGTGTGTGTGTGTGTGTAGGCTTTATCAATTAAACAATATAGCAACAGAATATATAGTACAAAATATATATATAAAATATATGTGTATGTGTGCCTGTGTGTGTGTGTGTGTCTGTATAGGGAATATATAGTACAAAAACTTCTTGAAAGATAATTGCTTCATTTAAAAAAGTATTTCTGGGAAATATTTAAGATCCCTCTCCCAGAATTTGACATGTCAAGTAGGCAAAATGTGAGAAAGAGTATAGCTATTTGAATAATAAATCAATATTAATCCAGATTCTTGAGTCAGGCTGCTTAGGCTTGATCCTTTCTCCACTGTCAACAGTTGGATGTTCTTGGACAATTTAATTAAACTTTGTATGTTTCAGTTTTCTTGTTTGTTAAATTTTGCAAATAATATCAAACTCATCAGGATTGAATGTATTACCAATGCAAATGTAATGCTTAAGACATCCCCTGACACATAATTTGGTTTATAGAAGTTACCTATTAATATGATCATCATCATCATCATCATCATCATCATTGTCTAGAAAAAAAATAAGTGAATCAAACTAACTCAGATCAAAAAAAAACTAAAATATCTAAATATTGAGATTAGATAAGTGATTTTTCACTGTTTCACTAAAATCAATAATAGTAATAGTGTCAACAACAAAAATATTTTGGTAAAATGATAGGCTTATTGATTTTATTTTTTCAAAGCCTTAAAGAGAATCCACAGTCTGTCATCATTTAATCTGTTAAAAATCAATTTTACTGAGATACATTTTACGTGAAATAACATATACCCATTTGTCTAGGTTGATATGATTGGTCCACAACATATACCCATATAATCACTGCCACAATCAAAAACAGAATGTTTTCATTACCCGAAACATTCCTGTTGCCCATTTGCAATTAAGCTTTCTCCTTATCCCTGAACAAATGTTCTGTTTTCTGTCAGTATAGAATTGCATTGTTTTTTCTCGGATATCTTCCTCTTAGTATAATGACTTTGGAATTAATCCAAGTTGTAAGTATCAGTAATTTCTGACATTTTATTGCTAACTTATATTACAATTATTCATTTACCACAATTTGTTTATCTGTTAACCTGTTGATGGACATCAGTGTTATTTCCAACATTTGGCTGTTATTTTAAAAATTGCTATAAAATTTATTTGCAAAAACTTGTGTGGACATACCCTTTCATTTCCTTTAGATGAATATGTAAGAGTGGGGTTTCTCAGTAATATAACTTTAGGAGTGCCAGGTTGTTTTACAAAATAATTGTAGCACTTTATACTTCTAACAGCAAGGTATAAGTTCCAGTTGTTTCACATCCTTAAAACCTTTTGGAATTTTCAATGTTTTTATTTTATTTTATTGTTATCATTTTTATTATTTTGAGACAGGATCTTACTCTGTCACCCAAGCTGGAATGCAGTGGCACAATCATGGCTCACTACAGCTCCCGGTCTCAGGTGATCCTTCTACCTCAGCCTCCTGAGTTGCTAGGACTACCAGCACTGGTCACCATGCCTAGCTCATGTCTTTATTTGTTGAAGAGGTGGGGTTTGACAATGTTGCCCAGGTTGGTCTCAAGCTCCTGGGCTCTAGCGACCTGCCTACCTCGGCCATCCAAAATGCTAGGATTACAGGTGTGAGCCACCACTCCCACCATGAATTTTTACTGTTTTTAATTTGAGCCTACTTAATTGGTATGTTGTTGTTATCTTATGATTTGATTTGCATTTTAGAAATAATGATGTTGAGCATCATTATTATGGGCTTAAATGTCACTCGGACATCTTTGGTAAAAATGACTGTTTATATATATTTTTTCCTTTTCTAAACAGTTACTTGTTTACTTGTCATTAAGGTATAAAAATTTCTTAATGATTTATTCAAAAATCAGTCTTTTAAAATTTTAATGAAGTCCAATATTTCTATTTATTCTTTATGTTTTGTGTCTTTATGTGTGTATGTACACATGAGTTTTAAGAAATCTTTGCTTAACCCTAGGACTCATAGGTTTTCTTACAGAGGTGGTTTTTTTTTCAACATTTATTTTAAGTTCTGGGGTGCATGTGCAGGACATGCAGGTTGTTGCATAGGTAAATGTGTGCCATGGTGGTTTACTGCACAGATCATCCTATCACCCAGGTGTTAAGCCCAACATTCATTAGCTATTCTTCCTGATACTCTCCCTCCTCCTACTCACCACCACGGGGACCCAGATGTATGTTGTTCCCCCCATGTGTCCATGTGTTCTCATCATCCAGCTCCCACTTATGGGTGTTTGGTTTTCTTCCAGAAGTTTTAATGCTGTATCTTTAAGTGTGTGATCTATTTGACGTTAGATTTTTGTGTGTGCTATGAGGTAAGGGTTAAGGTTAACTTTTTTACAAATAGATATTCATTTGTTCAAGCACCATTTCTTGAATTATGATGCCTCTATCATTGAATTACCTGATACTTTTGCCTAAAATCAATTGACAGTATATGTGCCGATATGTTTTAAACTCTTAATTATATTTTATTGACCTATCATGACAACACCACACTGTCTTTATCACTCTACATTAGTAGTTAATTGTAAAATCACAGGATATGTCAGCCAACTTTGTACTTTATCATTTGCTTTTACTTTCTTGGTTAAGTTTATTGTCATATAAATTTTAGCCTCATTTGATGATTACTACAAGGAAACCTACTGATATTTTGACTGAGATTATTTTAAAACTGAAAACCTATTGGGAGATAATTAACTGCTTCAAAATATTGAGTATTTTGATCCATGAACATGGTGTAATATTACTTATTTAGGTCTTAATTAATTTCCCTTAGTAATTCCTTATAGCCTTTAGTGTACAGACCTTGTTTTAGACCCTTGGTATCCACCCCCCCTCTCCCAGTGTTTAAAGATTAATAAGTGAGAAGATATCAGCAAAGGGATCTGAGAAGGAGCAGACATTAAACTAGAAGAAAATTTAAGAAATTAAATAAAGGTAGTGCTTAAAGGAGGAGCACTTGGTAAACTGTATTACATGTGAGTGATCTATCAAGTAAAATTAGAAGTAAGTTGACCATTGCATTTTTCTATGAGTAATTTAATATTGACTATGACAAGGAATATATATGTGGAACAGTGGGGACAAAAGACTAATCAAGCTGGATTCAAGATAAAATGAGAAAAAATGGAGACAATAAGTACAGAGAATTCCTTCCAAGTGTTTTGCTATAAACAGAAGCAAGGAAATGCAGTAGTCATCAGAGGAAGATGTGATGTTAAAGGGATGCTGATTCTTAAAATGGGCCAACTAGCAGCAAATCTCTGTTATAATGCTGCAGAAGGGAGGGATAGTTGATGATTCCACAAAGAGAGACAGGTGGGTAGAGTGGTCCCTTTAGTAGGAGAAGACTATCTAGAGCACAAGTGGATGGCTTAGCCTAAGGAGGGAGCATGGTTCACCCCAAGTTAACAAGATAAAGGAAGAGTCTGTGGTCACAGAGGCAGGTATGTGACTAGATGCAGTGATAGGAGCTTACTGAAGTTTTCTTCTGGTTCTTATTCCTTTTTGGATAAAATTAGAAAGTAAAGCAATCATCTGTCCTTGAATATGAGGCAGAAGTGTTGGAGATTTGAGTAAAGGGATATTCTTTAAATTGAATGAATTTCTTTCCACAAAAAAAGTCTACTATATAATCATTATAGTTCTTAAAACTGCAGAAAAAGTCATGTTGACATTTTTACAAATAAAAAAATATTTTTATTCCTAAAAAGCAAGAAATACTCCTAAGTTTTTTTTAAAAAAAGAGGCTCGTTGAAAACAGGTAGTTTACTTATTAGTCCAGTTTGCCTTCCTATGAATTGGGAGAAACAATAGGTTAGCCCATTTTGAGTTTATATTGTGTTAGGAAACATCATCTCCTTTCTAAAACCCTTTATGATTTTGGTTAGACCATGTGAAGAAATCCATAGGACATAGTCATAAAATTTAGTAATAGAAAATTTCTTGCTCGTCAGATGAAAGCGAACTGAGGACAATAAATATCTTTTGACTTATTTCCGTTTGATTTTGGGATTTCATTTTCTCAGTATCCAGTTATTTATGCTAAGAGTGTAATTTCTTTGTATACTAACTTGAAAATAAGTCCAAACTATCATTCTGTTTTCATGTTATAGTTGTTTGTATGCATTAGAGTCTCTGTGTATATGCCTGTGTAATTGCTGTTCCTTAGTTTTCTTCCTTCAAGCAGTTAGTCCCTTCAAAACCCAACGACAAGACCCAAATATATTTAAAAATTTAGTTGGAGTGTCTGGGGTGAAACAAAAAAACTATTATTTTTCTTACAGAGCTCTTATGCAAACACTTAGACACTTGTTCTCTGCCTCTGGAATAACAAATGTTTCTTGGAGAGCAGCAATACTCTTTTGGACTTGTTTGACTCTACTTTCTTTACCTGTCTTTAAGAAACCTCAAACACATATTTTTAAAATACAGTTTAGAAAGGTTTTAGTGATAATGCATACAATCATTTGATTTTATTTCCCCTTTCTCTTCACCTTCACTAATAGAAGGTGTTACTGACATGCTTCAAAAAGCTTACATTTGATTACTGTCTAAATCAGTGCAGACCCTTGACCAGCTTAATCTTTGCTTGCAAATGACAATGCAGTGAAACCAGAGGATGAAAAAAAAATTACTTCCTTTCCTGTTGGAAACCTAATAAGTAGTTAGTCTGACCCAGTTTTCAATAAGAGAGATTTTTCTGATGACCCGACAGGAGTGACTATCTCCAGTCAAAGAAAGAGGAGGGTGAATTTAATCTTTCATGACACTGGAATGGCAGCTGCTCTCAGCTCTCTCTGATTCTGTGAAGGTTGATGAAGATAAAGCTGGCTTTCAATGTAGAAAGAATTTTCCTTTTGAATATTCCAAACGAGAGCTTTGCACATGTGCCTCAAGAACTGATTGTCTAGGTTCCGACAGGAATGCAGCAGGAGAGGAGCGTATTTCATGCTTAAGACCAGAGAAGAGCCACGCAATACTCAGTGGATAAAAGGCTTGCAGTCCCAGCTGGGAAAGAGAGTCCCATTATCTCCCAGCTGCATAGACATTCCATACGGCTTGGTTCTGCCTGGATGCACAGCATGCCTGGCTGAGAGCTTGAAACAGAGTTCTGCAGAAAAATTGTAAAGATCCCGAGACATTTCCCTCGTAAGATCTGTAAGTACAAAATTGTGCTGTCTGCTGCAATGAGAATATTGCTGGGCAAGCTGCAGCTTTTCTTCCTTTCAATGTCTTTGTATTAGCATAACAGGTAAAAGCTGGGGTTGGGGGAGAAGTCACTGCTTTTTTGATGCTGTGTTTCTATCATGCTGATGTTTAAAATGCATTTATTCCTTGTGTGGGAAAAATGTATTGAATCTGTATTCTGGTAGGTTAGGATCAAACCAGGGAAGGAGACACTACAGGTACATTTTTCAGTGTTTCACTAGTCTTTGCTGCAGTAAAACTAATGGGCAAGACGGGATGACAGTGCTAATTCTGGGACTTTCAGATGGCTACACGCCCTTTTTGTAACGGCAGATGGGAAAATGTGATTGCTAAATGTTTTTTGTCTTTTTTTTTTTTTAATAAAAGGTATGAGGGGTGGGGTTTGCAGTTTTCACCCGATGATTTAAAAGAATGGTTATAAAGTTTCCTAGGGGAGGATTTAGTAAGGGGAGCAAAGCAAGACTGGAGGTCATGTGGGCTCACCAAATTTTGTCTGGCATTTTGCTTTATACCCAGCTTCCTAATAATAGCCTCTGGAGTTTCCTTTGCCATTTACACCAGTTAAGCTTGTCAGTATTAAAGTTCTTATAATACTTTATGAAAACTTTCAGAAGTTGATGACTTGGGAACAAAACTTTTAAGAGCTCTGAGATTAGCCATGTATAACCCATTATGTTAATGGGATACTGTAACATTGGGGTTTAGGAAGAAAAATTGGAATTCATAGTTTTTGCTTCTCCGAATGAAAACTACTTATGTTTAAATAATCAGCATCCTGACTATGTCCTCTGAGAAACATTCACAGAATGACTAAATAGAAGTTATACTGAGAAAAAATAGAGGGAACAGTAGAATCACACAGAATCAATTTGGAAAATGAGGTATTCATAATTTTATCTACAGTGGCAATGTTTTCTGAACATATCTGTAAAAAAAGGAGCATATGCTGAATATTGAATTGCTTGTTTTGAGCAATTTTCATTTATCTGATGGGTTTATCATCTTTTTATTGTTGTTGTTGAAGGTTTCACCAATTTATGCACATTGTATTTTATAAGGAAAGAAGATGTTTAAGGAGACTCTTTCTACCCTCCTCCTTCACATATATGTGTAAACATAACTATGCGTGTTCACAAAACAAGCATAAACATACAAAAATGCTAACACCATTTGTATAAAAAACAGAAATACAGAATCATTTCATCTTTGAATGCTTCATTGGGTTTTCTTTTCTTTTTTTTTTCTTCTTTTTTGGCAATAATCGTGGCTGTGCAGTTCAAAGATTTCAAATATATAAATGTGGAAACTTTTATATAAAGCATTGTATGAGGTTATATAAATGCATAACTTATCACATCTTAGCAAAAAAGTCAATCATTTATAAATGACTTCATTGCATTACTTCCTTTGAATATTTATGGTGAAGCACCAGAATACTTTTTTACAATTTTTGTGTAACTTTCCATAAAGAAAACAAGCTTCACTTGTTTATTTAGAAAAAGATTACATATTTTCTCTGAGTTTATACCAAACCCCAAAAAGAAAAGAATGTGTGGCATATTAAATTCATTGCATACTTCTGATGTTATTTTGATAAGTAAAAATATTCAGTAGTATAATAGTACCTTTTAAATTCTTTTATGTGAGAAGAAGAAATACAAAATATTTGCTTATTTATTCACTTATCTGTTTATTTTAGTAGCATACTAATCGGAATGCAGAAGTTTAAGTTCTACTCATGAAAATAACTCAAGCAATACATAAAAGTTCTAAAAGGAAACCCTATCACCTGTAAATAACAATCATGAAATTTGAAGACTATCATTGGAGACATCCTGATGCCTAAATTCAGATGAGAGAGAAATACTTTTGTAAGAGTGGTTTCTTGCCATACACCTTTTAAAAAATAAATTATAAATATTTAGATAATATAGTCAATAATAGATACTCTTCTGTAAGAATGAGATCTTATCCTACACTTAAGAAACAGAAATACTGGGTGGGCATGGTGGTTCACCCCTGTAATCCCAACACTTTGGGAGGCCGAGGCAGGTGGATCATGAGGTCAAGAGATCGACACCATCCTGGCCAACATGGTGAAATCCTGTCTTTACTAACAATACCAAAATTTGCGGGGCGTGGTGACCCACACCTGTAGTCCCAGCTACTCAAGAGGCTGAGGTAAGAGAATTGCTTGAACCTGGAATGCAGAGGTTGCAGTGAGCCCAGATTGTGCCATTGCACTCCAGCCTGGGTGACAGAGCAAGACTCCATTTCATAAAACAAACAAACAAACAAACAAGAAACACAAGAATATTTAGTTTAATTTTTGATTTCATATTTTAATTAAACTGAAAAAAGAGAAGTTGAAACAACATTGAAGAAATTGTTAAGTATATATTTCTTTCCAAGGGAGATATTATGTCCAGAATACCTTTATAGTTTATACCCAAAATTTTGAAAATAGCAATAGTTTGAAGTTGTTTTTTGTGTACATGTTTAAATGGTAAACAAACTTTTATAAGCCTTTGTTATGATAGTTAAATGCATTTGCAATGTGATTTGTTGTCATCGACTCTACCTGTACCACCTGAATTTAAACTATATCAGTTTTACATTCTTGGGTATGTACATTCTAGCTGAATACCCACAGACTTAGTCTAAACTTACTTCAAATTTGAAAGAAATTATTCTTTACCAACAGGATTTTACTACCCAATTCACCATTCCTGTGTTCTTTATTTTAAATTATTTTGGAGGTTGTTAGATTTCACTATGTCGTACCTCTCCACCTAAGAAATAGTCGTAGGTGCTATATTTTCTGTGAATTTCCATACTTGAGCATGTCTGTTTTTTGTCCTATACATTCAAGATGTGTTAGCTTTCTTGGATCACGCTTATTTTTTTCTTTTGGAAATGTGTAAATGTTTGTAAGCATTTTAGAGGCCGTTCCCATATTGAAAGTTGTTTTGCAACATTTTTAGGTATGTCTGCAATTTCTGTCATTGAATGTGACTTGCTTTTTGTCTTGTAAGTGCCTACATGATTCTTTTGTTTTGTCCGTGTGTTTATTTTTACAGATTTTTTTGTTTTTGTCCTGGATTTGTTCCATTTTTGTTAACTTTTTGGAAGTTTACCCCCTTGATTTAAGATTCTCTTATTTCAGGATTTGTTATGTTACTATTTCTTTTTTGTTCCCCAACCGGGTATGGTCAAATTGTGGTTATATTGCTTCTTTCTTTTCTTCAGAATCACCAATTGTGTACATGTTGTATCTCATTTGTCTACTTTCCACCTTGCATATCCAAATTTCTTTTCAATTTTAACTGACAAATTGGTTATCTTACTTGTCTTGTTTGCCACTTGAATGAATAGTATAGCTTCTGGTAAACCTATTAAGGCATAACCTTCTGTATTGTAGTCTTGTAAATACATATTTCCTCCTCTCAACACTAGCAATTTCCTCAGCTACCAGGTTTTGGGGCAATCGGTATTCTAAAGAAAGCACTTACCAGATTTCCCTGATGTCCCCCAAAGGTCCACGTATTTTAGCATTTGGCAACAGTGAAAATGGGCTTCAATTGTGTTTTGGAGGTTATGTCAAGTAACATTTTAATTGAAGACAGAGGGTTTTTTGCTTTGTTTTTTGTCCCCACCATTACCACTGCTACTTTTTAAATTTCTCTTTATTGTTCCTGTGGGACAATAGAGGAATAAAAAAATCTCTTTATTTAAAAAGTTTTAAGTATCAATCAGTTTAGAAGAGTTCTTTGAAAGAAAATTTGAATAGAATGTTGTTGTCAGTGTTCATACTGAAAAGAGCTGCTCTAGTTAAAACCAAGTTCATCTGCATGATGTGTTGTAGTATTAAACATTTATTATGGTAAAGGCATAACACAGGACATGCTAGAGGAAAAAACAGAGCCATTGGGAATGCCTTCTGATAATATCCCCTATTAGTCTATATTGATGAAATCTGTGGCCTACTTAACTATTTTGCAATAAGTTGTAAGGTAATTTACAAAACTTTACATCATAGGAACATGAATCAAAATCTGTAGACTCAAATTCTTTTTGAAAGTATACTGGGTATAAAACTTATATGTAATATGTTTACAATTAAATGAATAAATGAATGAATGAATAAACAAATTTCCCTAGACCTCAAAATCCTTTAAAGAGGCAATGAAGTATTTTACGATACTTCATAGGAATCATAGGTGTGTCCTATGAAGTATTATAAAAAACTAATGATATTACTAAAAAACAAATTGCATTTTCTCAGTGTGAATAAAATGATGGAGCAAGATTCAGGAGGCAAACTCTTGAGCTGAAGTGCCACCCATGGTAGCTTTCCCTCTTTGTGTCTAGCACAGAAGAGCTCTGTGGTTTGGGGCAAGTTTCTTATCCTCTTTATAGCTCAGCTTTCCATTCATAGTGAAGATAATGTTAGTACTGACTTTACAGTATTATCAGGAGAATTCAGCAGGTAAATATGTAAAAAATCTTGGAAGAAAACCTGGCAATTAATAAGCACTCTATGTGTTAGCTGTTTATTGTCATATTATTATTACTATTACAACATTTATATGTGAGCCTTGGGATCCATTGGATAAAAATAATATAAAACAATGAAAAGAATAAAATTATAATTATTATTTAATCAATTGTATTGGGTATTTAGTAGAGAATTAAATTTGGAGTGTAAATCATAAGTGGATTTTAAAATAGAGCTCAGGGAAGATGGTGAGAAGATATAGAGATGCTGGTCCCTGGATCCACATAGCTTAAAAATAGAAATGGTATTTCTGTATACACCAAGCAGTTGGACCTGATCAAGAAAAGGGGCATATTAAATTTTCTGATTATAAAAGCAATGCACAGAAAAGCATGAGAACAAATAAGCCAGAATTTATTTCTTCAAAGAACATCACGAATGC